AAGAAGCTTCTTCAGCTCTGACTGGATAATGGGGAATGGAAGGATTTATATATTCCTTGCAGACAGCTGGTCATTTGCATCCTTTGAGAGGGTCATTGAGGCCATTTGGAGAACCCTCAACAGAGGGGGAGGGATAGGATGTCATCTATCTCCAGTCTACAACACAGTCCATTCAACAGTTCCAAAAAGGCTCCACACCCATTTGCACTACTCAGATGACCCTGAGGAAACAGACAAACCTCCAAGTGGCCTCAGTGACTCACTAAAAGGATGCAAGTGACCAGCTGTCTGCAAGGAGTATGAATCCTTCCATTCCCCACCATCCAGTCAGAGCTGAAGCAGCTTCTTGGATGAGAAGGGGAAACGTCTTCAAAGAAAAACCACAAAGTCCAGTTGCCTCTTGGAAAAAAAAAGCACCCTTGGATTTATTTCTAAAGGCTGTTGTAACTTTTATTTAGGTAATGTATGTTAAATGCGGTGAATGTTTAGTCTCCGTTGTATAGATGCTCTTACAGCAATCCTCTAGGGTAAATCTCAAGAGAAAAGGACCAGAATGAGCAGGAAGCGAACAGAGAACCTCTACTTAATTTCAGAGCTGAGGTCTTAATTACTGGATGTAGTAGAGTTGCAAATACTTGTATCTTATTAACATACCTCCTGTACATGGTGTCAAAATCCCTAAGTTCTACTTTTCTCTTCCTTAACTATCTCTCATTGTCCAGCCCCGTGTAACCAATCAGATTGAGGCAAGAAGTTTTTCTAACAGCGAGTCCAAGTGTAGTTTGGTATGCGGCTGTTAGGAATGTAAGTCACCTAATAGTTGGGTTGGAAAATATATAAACCAGGATAGACATTTTAATACTGTCTCTTTAAGGGAATGCTAAAATTGTAATTGGGTGTGGTTCCTCAAACGGCCATATAAGATGGAGCTAGAAACCTGGGTTGTTCTGTTCTGTTGTTCTGGAGAGTGTTGCCATTTCTATTGACTGTTGCTGATCATCGTTATTCTTGGATCTGATGTAAGTCTGTTACTGAACTGTTTTTGATACTGGACTTTGTTATTTGGATTATCCCTGGACTAAAAACTGACTGCTTTAACTGTGAATGACTTGGACTGCTTGTTGGACTTTGCTTAACCATTTACTGGAAGTAAAAACCTACATTTTACTATGCAGTGTAGCTGCGTGCTGTGTGTGTGTTATTCAACATTACTCTCACTACGTCTCCCTGTGTGCGCTCATTCTAACGGGGAATTACCTTAACAGTGGCCCCCCTTCCTTCTTCCAGCTGGGTGACCTTGAGGCAGCTTCTCAAGGGGATACAGCGCTTACTTTTGCTTCCCCAAGCATTCCCTCCTCCACAGTCCATGGCAGTCTGTCACCGCACGCACAACCAAGCATATGGTGGCAGCTGATAGGTTGTGTCATGCCCCCCCCAGGAGCGTGAATCTGTGGGGAAAGATGAGTTGGAATTGGAGCCGACGGAGATCGAGGGGGCAGCGTTGTTGGCTTCACAGGAAAATGGGGAGGAGCAGGGGGCCAGTCATGCCAGGGCCTTTCAGGATTAGGACGGCTTGTAGGCAGGGACGAATGGGGGAAGGATGAGCAAGACAGGTTAAGCAGTGAACATGAGAGACAGAGCTCAGGGGATGAGCAAGGATCTTCCCCTCCTGATCCCTGAGCACGGAGAGTGGAGAGAAGGCGTGAACAGCGCAGACCGACTCGACTACTCGGGAGGAGAGCGCCCCACCCCTCTTCACAAGGCACACCCGGGGACTGAGACTGAAGGAGACGCTGTGGGGAGGGGCATTTGTCAGGAACAAACGCTGAATTCATGGAGTGTTGAGTGCCGACGTTTGAACTTTCCTGAATTCCTTGCATTCTTTCTGGAATTCTGGATACTTGCCTTGCTCCTTTGATTTCTGGACTCGACTTGCCCTGCTGGATTTCTTGCTGTAGCCGCGGTGCTTACAGCAATTGGGCTGGACTATTTGCAGCCAGAGGCTGCTTGAGGGGTATGTGTGTGTGTATGTGTGTTTGTCATCACATTGCTCTGGGACTTGCCAGAACTATGGAAGCGTTTGGGGAAATTTGGAGCCATAAAAGGCCGGTTTGAACTGCCAGCTGCCTGGGTGACCTGGGAAGACGAACAGCTGACAGGGAGTGAGAGTGTGGCTCCGTTGTCTGTGGAGGAAACTGGGGAAGGGCAAAGTCCGGCTGGGCAGAGCAGGAGAGAGGTAGAACAAGGGAGAGAGAGTTCAGAGGAAGACCCAGGCCCACCCCCTCTTCATCCTAGGGCATGCACAAAGGAACGGAGAAGAGAGCAACATGGGTTTCATGGCTTATAAGGGGAGGAAAGGGCCCTGATTCCTTTCATTAGCCACACCTGGGAATGAGAGTTTAAAAGAGATGCAAGCTGAGTGTGGCCTCTCCTGGGAACAAACATGAGTTTGTGTTGACTGCGGTTATTTGTGTTCCTGGCATCCTCCCAACTGGGTTGACTTACTGCTGTTTCTTCTGGAATTCCTTCTCCTGCCCTGCCAGACTAATTACCTCATCTTGCCTTGATTGGACTTAAAGTTATGGTTTTTATTCACCATGTTTTGGATTTGATTCCCTGCAGCCAAAGGCTGTTCCTGGGAGAGTTTTTCTCCAGCCCAGAAGGTAACCAGGACATTGGGGGCAAAGTTGTAGCTAATAAAGGGATTCCTACTTATTATCTGACTGTGTTGCCTTTGTGCCACACCCCTTTGGGTCATCACATTACCTTTGTGCCATGGCCTGGGTCGCAACAGGCTGTAAGTCAAGGATGATTTTAACAAGCCGTTTCTCTTCCTTTGGCTTCCAGCGGCCAGTTCGCGATCGTGCGGAAGTGCCGCGAGAAGAAAACGGGCCTGGAATACGCGGCGAAGTTCATCAAGAAACGGCGCCTGTCGTCCAGCCGCCGAGGGGTGAGCCGTGAAGAGATCCAGCGGGAAGTCAACATCCTCCGGGAGATCCAACACCCCAACATCATCACCCTCCACGACATTTTCGAGAACAAGACGGACGTGGTGCTGATTCTGGAACTGGTCTCCGGCGGGGAGCTGTTTGATTTCCTGGCGGAGAAGGAATCCCTGACGGAGGAAGAGGCCACCCAATTCCTGAAGCAGATTCTGGATGGGGTCCATTACCTCCACTCCAAACACATTGCCCATTTCGACCTGAAGGTGAGATCCTTCCATTCCTATCTCCGAATAATCATCATAATAAATAATCGACCCAAAAAAATAAACAGGGGGCTTCGTAGTAAAAAAAAACTCCAATGTCATCTACTCTGGAGGACTTCAGTCTTTTTCTGGAAAGCGGTTAGCAAAGGGCACTTTCTGAATTCTGGAGAAGACCTCTTTAAGGTCATGATGAGAATCGGCGCTGAGAAATAGGGGAGAATGAGGTCAGAAAGTCGAACTTCACAGGAAGAGTAGTGGAAACTTGGAAACTTCAGGCAAGAAATTTTTCTAACGGTTAGTCCAAGGATAGGCAACCTGCAGCTCTGGAGCCGCATGTGGCTCTTTCATCCCTCTGCTACGGCTTCCTGTTGCTGGTGGGTTCCATAATTGATAGGGCTTTTGGCTAGGACAGGTAGAGGGAAAAGGAACACCACGCTCTATGGTGGGGGACTCTATGGTGGGGGAACCGCCATAGAGTCTGGTCTGCTCCAGAATTGAACCGGGGGGGGGGGGGGGGGGCTTCTGGTTAGGACTTTTGTGGCTCTTTGAGTGTTTAAGGTTGCCGACCCCTGGGCTAGTCCAAATGCAGTTTAGTATGCGGCCCCTCCTTCCAGCTGGTTGACCTTGAGGCAGCTTCTAAAGGAGACACAGCGCTTACTTTTGCTTCCCCAAGCATTCCCTCCTTTTGTCAGGATTCCGGCAGTTACCTCCCCATTTAAATCATGAGTCTCGAGCCAAACTTCCAAAACTTCAAAAGGATTTATTGGGAGTTAACATGTCCGGCACTGCCTGGGGGTAGCCAACTCTGAGACACATAATTCATTATCACCCTTGACCCTGGTTCCCCCCCCCCCCCCCACCCCTGGATGTATCATAATTCATATTCTCCAATGGGACACATCCATAGCTCAGAGTCATCGTGCTCTCCAGTTAGAATGTTGCGCGGCAGAAACTTCCGTCACCTAGTGGCTATCTTTGAAAACATTTATGGAATGCAGTTTCGGTTTGCAAACTGCTGCACTGCTCCCCCCTCCTCATTCTGTTGGCAGCTCTAAAAAGACCATAGAAATGTTTTATGAGTTGACACCTTTCCCCACAGCTCATGGCAGTTTGTCACCGCTTAGCAATGAAGCACCAAGAAGCATAAGGTGGCAGCTGACCGGATGGTAGTCAAGGATGATTTTTACAAGCTGTTTTCTCTTCCTTCAACCTCCAGCGGAGGCAGTGGGTGGGTCATCCCTCACTGAGTTTAAACATGCTTGGGATAAATACATGTCCCTTATCCGACGACATAATTAAAAAAAAAAAAAAAATACAGGTATTCTTCTAGTTACGACCACAACTGAGCCCCAAATTTAGGTTGCTAAGTGAAACGTTCCTTAAGGGAGTTTGCCCCAATTTTACGACTTGCGAGAGTTGTTAAGTGAATCGTTGCATTTGTTAGGTGAGTCACACCGTTGTTAAATGAATCTGGCTTCCCCATGGGCTTTGCTTGTTAGGAGGTCGCAAAAAAAGGGATCACGTCACCCCGGGACATGGCCACCGTCGTAAATACGAGTCAGTTTCCAAGCATCTGTATTTTGCTCACGTGGGGAGGCTTGCAAAGGTTATAACTTTGAAAACCGGTCAAAAGTCACATTTTTTTTCAGTGCCGTTGTAAGTTTGAACGGACACTAAATGAACTGTTGTAAGTCGAGGATTACCTCAAAAAAAATTAAAACCCCTCAAAGGGCAGACTAGATCACTAGGTCTTTTTCCACCTTTCAGTTTTAATATCTTTCTATCTGCTAGTCTGTGGGATTCTTGCTTGATGGTTTCCTTGCAGACGTTTCATGACCCAACTAGGTAACATCATCAATGTTAGAAGGGAATGGGGTTTGTGGAGATGAGGAGGAGGAGGAGTAGGAGGAAGAGAAGAAGGAAGAAAAGGATTGTGGGGTCACTAGTGGTCTCTGAGCTTGGTACTTTTCTTGCAGACGTTTCGTGACCCAACTAGGTAACATCATCAATGTTAGAAGGGAATGGGGTTTGTGGAGAGGAGGAGGAAGAGAAGGAGTAGGAGGAAGAGAAGAAGGAAGAAAAGGATTGTGGGGTCACTAGTGGTCTCTGAGCTTGGTACTTTTCTTGCAGACGTTTTGTGACCCAACTGGGTAACATCATCAGTGTTAGAAGAGAGTGGGTTTTGTGGAGAGGAGGAGGAGGAAGAGAAGGAGAAGGAGGAAGAAAAGAAGGAAGAAAAGCATTGTGGGGTCCCTGGTACTCTCTGATCTTGGTAGTTTTCTTGCAGACGTTTCGTGACCCACTAGGTAACATCATCAGTACTAGAAGAAGGTAGGGTTTGCTTTCTGTTTATACAGTATGCAAGTGGCTTGCCCTGTCACTCACTGCCTTTGTCAGAATTGGGGAATACCAATTCAGACAAACAATCAACCACTAAATGACAGCCTGATCAAGGAACCACCACATTTCCCGCCAACGTCGTCGCTGCGTTTTGCCCTGGAATTCTGAAGAATTTGAACATCTTGATTGAAAGTCACATCTTCCGTTGCTGGATGGACTCAACGCGTTTCTCTCTTTTTTTTTCTTTCCTGCCCTTTCAGCCTGAGAACATCATGCTCCTCGACAAAAACGTCCCCAGTCCCCGAATCAAACTGATTGATTTTGGCATTGCTCACAAGATTGAGACGGGAAATGAATTTAAAAACATCTTTGGCACTCCAGAATTTGTAGGTAGGTGCAGAGGAAGGGAAGGTTGCCAAACGGGAGGGCTGGGATGGAAATGATGACATCTGGAAGGTTGATGGAGCCATTTTTACAAGTGGAAGAAAATGATTAATAAAGTCTTCCTTCCTTCCTTCCTTCCTTCCTTCCTTCCTTCCTTCCTTCCTTCCTTCCTTCCTTCTCTTTCTTTCTTTCTTTCTTTCTTTCTTTCTTTCTTTCTTTCTTTCTTTCTTTCTTTCTTTCTTTCTTTCTTTCTTTCTTCTTTCTCATCCATCTCTACCTTCCTACCTTCCTACTTCATTTATTCTCATCCATCCGTTCCTTCTCATCGATCTATCCATCCCTCCCTCCCTCCCTTCTTTCTTTCCTTCCCTCCCTCCTTTCTTTTCTTTCTCTTTATTTCTTCTTTCTCGTCCATGTCTTCCTTCCTTCCTCATTCATTCTCATCCATCTATCCCTTCCTTTCTTCTCATTCATCTATCCCACCTTCCCTTCCCTCATTTATTCTCATTCATCCCTTCCTTCCTTCCCAACCATCTCTCCCTCCCTTCCTTCTTTCTTTTCTTTCTTTCTCTTTCATTCTTTCTTCTTTCTCATCCGTCTCTTCCTTCCTCATTCATTTTCATCCATCTATCCCTTCCTCCTTTCCTTCCTTTCTTCTCATTTATCTATCCCTTCTTCCCTCCCTCCCTCCCTCCCTCCCTCCCTCCCTCCCTCATTCATTCATTCACATCCAACCTTTCCTTCCTTCTCATCTATGTATCCCTCCCTCCCTTTCCACAGCTCCAGAAATAGTGAATTATGAACCTTTGGGCCTTGAGGCTGATATGTGGTGAGTGAAATAATTCTTCTATTTCTTATCTTGCCCATAAGGAAAGTAATATATAGGCCCCAGGTCTGACAGCCACTGCACCGTTTCCACTGGTAGCCAAAGGCGTGTTTTCTGAACTCCATCTAGTGTTGGGTGCGTGTTGGGAATTGACTAGTTCGCCATTGGCCAAATTCAACAATCCTCGCTTGGTTTCTTGGAT